GGTGTGGGGGGTCTCCGTTTTTTTTTGGGGGTGGGGGGGCAACCTTTTTTTTTGGGTGGGGTGTGCTCATTGTTGTTTTGGTGGTGGGGGTGCTCCAAAATTTTTTTGGGGGGGGGAAAGCGGTGGGGTGGTGTTATTTTTCTGGGGGGGGGGGGGGGGGGGGGGGGGGGGGACACATTTTTTTTCTGGTGGTGGTGGTTTTACGCTATTGTGTTGAGGGTGGTTTTTGGGGGTACTTTTTTTTTCGGGTGGTGGTGCATGCTTTGTTGTTTTGGGGTGGTGGTGCTCCTGCATTGTTTCTGGTGGTGGTTTTGGGTTTTGGGGGGCTATTGCTATTGTTTCTGGGGGTGGTGCCCTCTTTTGTTGTTTTGGTGGGGGTTTGCTGCTGCTTTGTTTCGGGTGGTGGGGGTGCTACTGCTTTGTTTCTGGGGGGGTGGTGTTCTATTTTTTTCTGTTGGTGGCGGTCTCCGCTATTGTTTCTGGGGGTGGTGGTGCTACTGCTTTTTTCTGGTGGTGGGGGTCCCTGCTATTGTTTTTTCTGGTGGTGGGGGTTCACTGTTTTGTTGTTTCTGGTGGGGGGGTGGTGGGGCTGCATTTTTTTCTGGGGGGTGGCGGTGCTACTACTATTGTTGTTTCTGGTGGGGCGGTGCTACTCTATTTTTTTGTTTCGGGTGGTGGGGTGCTCCCTTATTGTTATGGTGGTGGGGTTTTGCTACTACTATTGTTGTTGGGTGGTGGCGGTGCTTGTATTGTTTTTTTCTGGGGGTGGTGCTATGTATGTTGGTGGTGGGTGCTACTGTTTGTTTCTGGTGGTGGCGGTGCTATACTTTTGTTGTTGAGGGTGGGGCGGTGCACGCATTTTTGTTTTGGTGGTGGTGCTACGCTATTTTTTGTTTCGGTGGTGGTCACTGCTTTTGTTGTTTCTGGTGGTGGGCTCCCTTATTGTTGTTTGTTGGGGGGGGTTTCGCTTTTGTTTCTGGTGGGGGGTGCACTCTATTGTTTTTTTTGGGTGGGGTGCTACTGCTATTTTTTTCGGGTGGTGGTGATCTATTGTTTTTTTGGGTGGTGGTGCTACTGCCTTTTTTTTTCGGGTGGGGGTGAAAAGCTTTTGTGTTTCGGGTGGTGGTGGTGCTATGCTTTTGTTTTTTTTTGGTGGTGGTGCTACTGTTATTTTTTTTTGGTGGTGGGGGTGCAACTGTATTTTGTTTCTGGTGGGGGTGCTACTGCTTTTTTGTTGTTTCTGGTGGGGTGGTGTACTGCTATTGTTTTTTGGTGGGTTGCTTGCCTGTTGTTTCTGGTGGTGGTGGGTGGTGTCTCTGTGTTGTTTTTTTTTCTGGTGGTGGTGGTACTCTGTATTGTTGTTTCGGGTGTGGTGCTACTGTATTGTTGGTGGGGGGTGTACGCTTTGTTGTTTCTGGTGGTGGTGTCTGCTATTGTGGGGGTGGGGTGCACTGCTATTGTTTTTTCTGGGGGTGGTGCCCCTGCTATTGTTTGCTGCAAAGGGTATAAATAAAACGTGAAAAAACAAAAATAAACTTGAAAAGTTTAGATGGTTATTATGGTAATTTCTATTTCAGTCTCTCCTTTGTCGTGATTGCAAATTTCTTTAAAATTCAAAATTTTAAAACTTCATGCAACTTTATTACAAAATAAAATATACAGTGACCGCTCCTCCCAAAGAACCAAACACCCAGGGGACAAACCATCATGAAAAAAAAACGCCAACACAAGCTCCCCAAACCCTCGGGAAAAGGAAAAGTCGTCCCGGGCAGGAAGGCACCACACTCAGATTTTTCCCTGTTAGCTTTTTCCCAATTCCCCCCTTTGGGGCACTCGATAACCCCCAGGCCATTCGATTTGGGTTTGGGGTTTTTTCTTTGCCTCCGCCCCCATCCTCACCGAACATAGGTGTATTTTGGGGAGGGGGGAAGTGGTCAATTCGGACTTTTGGTTGTGGGGTCACACAGCAGAAAGGGGAAAATGCCAGGCATGAGGAAGTCAAGACATCATAAAGAAAGCCTTGCCACCCGTTTCCCCCGCCAACGGAACCCCAAGTGCGAGGTCGACGGAAGTCAAAGGCCCTTTTGGGCCCCTATGCTACCTGGAAGGTGGGAAAAGGGAAAAGCCTGGGGGCACCAAAAGTGCCGCCACATTGGCAAAACACCTACTTTCCAACTCCGTAGTGGAAGGGGTGGGGCTGCCAGCCCCAGGGAGACCCCGAAATCCCAAAATAAAGACCTTCCCCCTTGCTAATTTCTTCATCCAATATTTTTATATATAATATATATATATATATAATATATATAATATATATATATAATATATATTTATATAAAAAATAAAAGGAGGGGGAGAGAGAGAGAAATGAAATCACGAAACAAGTGATTTTGGATCATTTACCAAAATAGGTTGGGCATGTATACAAGTGGAAGGCGGCTGGAATTGAGAAGAACGTGCCTAACATGAGCCAGTAGGCCTAGCCTAACTTAAACTACTACTAATACTGTATCTGCACTGAACTTTTCTCCTGTGAATTTTTATCATTGACTTTTTATGCTATTTTTTCCCCCGTCACTGTTTATCACTGGGTGAGTTGGCTTACTCGAGTGCGCTTTTGTTTTTTTTACCTCCATAATTTAGGCCATCATAGTTGAACTCAGTTGAGATTATTGGTGAGGGAGAACATGGAACGATGGAGGAAATGAGGGAGTGAAGCGGACCTAAGTGGAGTTAGGGAGAGAGGAGATTGACCATGAAGGTAAATTACTGAAGGGGAAACGTTGAAGAGAAGGAGAGTTGTGGAATGATGAAATAAACTACTTGGTGAAGAACAAGTGTGGTGGTGCTGACAGTATGTACATGAACAAGTAACTACTGGCTGACAGTATGTACATGAACAAGTAACTACTGGCTGACAGTATGTACATGAACAAGTAACTACTGGCTGACAGTATGTACATGAACAAGTAACTACTGGCTGACAGTATGTACATGAACAAGTAACTACTGGCTGACAGTATGTACATGAACAAGTAACTACTGGCTGACAGTATGTACATGAACAAGTAACTACTGGCTGACAGTATGTACATGAACAAGTAACTACTGGCTGACAGTATGTACATGAACAAGTAACTACTGGCTGAAGAACAAGTGTGGTGGTGCTGACAGTATGTACATAAACAAGTAACTACTGGCTGACAGTATGTAAATGAGGAAAAAAAGACACTTATACAGTTCAGTACATTTATTAGAGGAAATGTTTCGCCACGTCCAGAACGTTTCTCCTAATATATGTCCTAAACTGTACACAAGTCTTTTTCCACATCTTGTTAGTATCACCATACCATTGTCTCTCTCTGTCTCTCTCTCTCTCTCTCTCTCTCTCTCTCTCTCTCTCTCTCTCTCTCTCTCTCTCTCTCTCTCTCTCTCTCTCACACACACGTACGTACACAGTTGAAGTGTACGGTTGCTTTACTACACTAAGATTTACTGGTTGAAGACTGGTATGCACGGTTCAAGACATTGAGGAAGAGCTTCGCCAGGATTAAGACTGAAGAAACCACTAGTGGCGAAAAGTTTCCTCATCACTTATCTTGAACTATGTAACGTGTCTTTAAACTACACATGTTGAAAATCAAGTACGGTTGACTGAGGCCAGTTATGAACTTCTTGAGAGAGAGAGAGAGACAGACAGAAGATGTAGGTAGGTTGTACTGGAAAAAGTGTTCTTGGTGCAGATAGTTAAAGGTCTCTCTTCAACGAATTGGAGCTACTTTCTTCTGTGTCTCAAAGCTATGTATCCCGTATTTGTCAGGTGCTATATGACTTCAGATTTAGAGATAAGGTTCTAACGTAAGATAATCTACCCTAGCTTCAACTCATTAAATTCTTTGTGAGTTTTTTTATGGCTTTTCCACTTGTAACTTTTTCTGTTACCTGTTTTACCTAATACTTCTGTTTTACGTGTCATTATTAGATGCTGTTATCCTGGATACCTCTAAACATCACCGCCTCTTTGTGTGTCGTCCTCTATTATTGACAGACTAGCGTCCTTCCATTTCATGAGATGCCAGTGTGTGTACTACGATACGATTACGTGTGTTGCTGATTGTCTTTACACACACTTATGTTTCTTAATTTACTTTTCCAGGGTTCTAGATGTATCGCCTATGTATATTTTATCCTCTTCCCACAAGGGATTCTGTATACACTGGCTCCAGTCTCGACTGTTGTGATTACCTTCTTTTTGACCAATACATTAATTGTGGCAGCTGAGCGTGTTGCTACGATATTAGCTTAGTGCTCTTGAGATGTTGCCTGTTACCTTGTTTTGGAAAGGACAATTTGTTTGGTGGATGCTCTCTCATGTTTTTTAAAAGATTATTACCACTACCACACGTGAGAGAGCATCCTCTCTGTCAGCAACGTAGCCAGCAACATCTCTACAGCAGTGTAGCAACGAGCTTCACGCCCACCATTGAGACTTGCTTTGTAGAATTTATTTGTCCAAAATGTTCGTAAGAAAGGAAAGACCAGCAGTCTTACCTTGAAAAAATATTTGCCTTCACTCTTGTATTACAGGACAGTAGTATCCTCCTGGATGGTTGTCTACTGATCTATCAACTTACCGCCTACCATATTCTTCTAACTACCTACTAACTAACTACTAACCTATCTACCAGCCTACTACTTTCATTGTATCCAATATTTGCAAAGTGCTAGTCCAACCGACTCTTAGATTCATCAAGTATTCCATCATTGTTGCCAGGTGGGGCGGTCTGCGGTGTCGTGTATTTGTTGACGAGCCAAGCCCTTCTGCTATTCCCAGCAGGCTGACTGGTCAGAGACCGGCCCGCGAATAGCAGATGGAGGATCGAGCCTCCACCACTACTGGCGCTGAACGATTCACACGGGTCATGAAATACAAATTCAGACAAACAAAATTCTGCCAGTACTAAGAGCACTAAGAGGCGGCTGGTTTTCCCTTCCCCCTGCAGGACTGAGACAGGGACGCAGCAGAAGCCAGCCTCCAAGGTTCGTGTTACCTTCTATGAGAGCTCCAAGCCATTGGTGGTGACCTCGCCAGAACCCTCAGAGTTCGACCAGTACTTCCCTCAAGACCTCATAATGGCCTCACCCATCACCGACGCCCACACACCCGCCTTTGACAGACAATTAAGGTCAGTATTTTTTTTTTTTAGCTAAGTTCTTGCTTTATGGTACTTTCCCCAGAGTTTAGAGAATGGGATTTGATGAATAAGACGCGTGTTCGACACTTGGGTATCTACGTTGGAGAGACCTTTTACCAACATAGCTATCTTATTCAATCTAATACAGGAACACGATGGCGTGGACTTTTATAATAGAGCCAGTGGAAGAGGTGGAGAGTTGCAGCAGTTGTAGATGCGATCACAGGTGGGCGGGACCCACTAGTGGAAGTAGGTAATGCTAATAAGGCGGATCAGAGGTTAGCAATAGAGTTGTAAAAGACATCCTCTGTACCAAGATTCCATACTGTTGTGTCAGATCTCTTTGCATGTTCTTGTATTTACTTTTCTAATTATGAAACAATTTCCTTGTGCAGCAACGCAAGGAATTCCGTGTTACAACTCTGAGAAATGAGACTGAACTTTAACTCTGGCACTCCCTAATATGATGTTCTCTTGTTTTTCACAAATTACGCACTCTCCTTATGACTTTGTTGTGTAACTGAGCTACTCTGTACCAGAGTGCACTCACTGTTTCACTGTTTCATAGCTGTTACACACGAACGTCCGTCACTATAAAGCTCTGCGCACACAGCTTTCACACGCATCCGCGCATTTCGGATAGGGTGGCTGTGTTACCACTGCACGAGATTAGTTGATAGGTTACGTTTGGTTAGTTGTGTTTGTTTTGTCATGTTAACCTCACTAGGTATGTTTTTATCCACTTTGTTAAAATCTCTTAAAGTTTATTTAGGTACAGGTAAACATAATTGCAGTTACACAAATTATCATATATGATAACATGCGCAAATTACCAAGGATACCCCCCTCAAAAAAAAAAAAAAGTCAATGACTTTACTTCCATTGGGGTCCTTGAGTATATTGTTCGTCATAATCATATGTTGTGTATATAATTTGTAAGTATTAAAGTTGGAACATATATACTTTTATGTGTACTTTAATTTCCTATGTATATTGTACGGCATGTATAAAGAACTAAATTAAATTGTGTAATCTGTAAAGCTTTTGACCTGGCGTGAGTTTAGAGAAGAGGCCGCTGCAGTAGGTTTTCTGTGATGCCTCAGAATTTTCGTTTTCTCTCGATAATGATTTCAAGGGCAACTTAAGCGGTTTATATGGCGCGCGCGCGCGCGAGAGAGAGAGAGAGAGAGAGAGATAGAGAGCAAACAAGCAAGCAGATGTACTCGCCTGAAAAGTCCATGTTACTCTTTGTGTTTTCAGCTTGCAGATATGTGCCCATGTTCCTTCTTCTTGAATTTCAATCAGTCTGTTGGTGTTTGCACATAGTTATGCGTTTTCTAGTCCTTTGTTCAAGAGTCAAGCTAGTCTGTCGTCGTCTCTACGCTTTCATCTATGTCTAGTCTGTTGTAAATATTTGTTTGAATGTGCTTGATCAGGCGGAGGCTCCATGCTGGTGCTGTATATTCTAGATTGGGACGGACATATGTTTTGTGTAACACTCTTAAAGGAAATTATCTTTTTCTTTAATGTGTGCGCGTGCGTGGGTGGTCACGTGCGCGCGCGTGGGTGGTCACGTGCGCACGTAATTCAATGTTGGCGCTGCTGCTTTATCACAAATGACTGTTTTTTTTTTTTTACATATTCCTGTATTTGAAGCTACGTATTAAGTGTGCCTCGGCCACTTATCTAAATCATTCTACTTTCTAACCAACGGGTAAAAAATGTATTTCCTGACATTGTTACACATTGTCCTCTTTAGTCTACAGTTGCCCATCTGTCCTTGCTTCTCTCCCATTAAACAGTGTGTTCCTGGTCGCTCTTTTAACTCTGGGTAAATTGTACGTCATGATCTGATCACCTCTGGTTGACTGGTCTTCAAAGGTACTAGAGTTCAATTCACTTAGTCTTCCTTTATATCAGTCCTCTTGGGAAGTTTCGTGATCGATAGGCTCTGGACTTCGTCTGTTTTTAAACGTATTTTATTAAAAGTTGGATCCACGCAGGAGCTCTACGATGGGCCTGATAGAAACGAGTTTGTTGAGGCTCATACAGACAGTTTTAAATTCGCTGGTCTTGCATACGTTGCTGAGGTTATTAGGTGAATGTGTCCTCCGGTGATATATTCCTTGTTATATATAGTCCTAGATTCTTTTTTTTCTTTCGTGTGGTCATCTCAATGTGAGTTCTGAAGATCAGAGCCTCTGAGACCACACAGAATTTCAGGTATCAAAATCGCGATTAAGATTCAAGCTAAGAATATTATGTATGAAGTTCGTTTCAGTAAGATAACTTGTGTTAAAGCAGGAAGGGGGATAGATAATTTTTGTCAGGACCATCTTGTAGGATGGGTATGATCCGCAGACAAAATTATCTATTCTTCTTGCTGGTTTAGAAAGACACGTAAGCAAACACTATGACATATTTATTAGAAAACGTTTCGGTCCTGGGACCTTGATCACTTCTAACATACAGAGGTAGAAAGGCATTATATATATAGGCGGAGAGTGAGGTGTGACGCACGTGACCTGAGGAATGTCATAAGAACATAAGAATGGAGGAACACTGTAGAAGGCCTACTGGCCCATGCGATGCAGGTCCTTATCAAAACAACCTCTGCCTATGATGAGGACGGGTAGACGTTGAAATCATGTGACTCCTGTGTTGTTGGGTTGGTGGTGCTTAAGTATCATGTATGCCAATGTTTTTGAAATTTCGTAGTTTCCAGTGTTGCGTTCTATAGTGTCGGTGACGGCGATTAGTGAGGCTTCTAGGCACCGTCGGCGTCTGAGGTCTGGTTCGGTGAGAACGAGTTGTGCCTCATTCCAGTTCATCAAATGTCCCGTGGAGTCTCTGTGGAGGACACAGGCGTACCTTACATCGTCTCTGTTAGAGGCATTTCGATGCTCATTCAAGCGGACTGCAAGATCTCTGCCTGTCTCGCCTACGTATTTCTTGGGACAGAACCCACAGGGGATAGTGTAGACGCCTGCTGTAGAAGTTAGAGGTGTGGGGCTGCGTTTCGTAGTGAGGTCTTTGATAGATGATGTGTTTATGGTGGAAACGTTGATGTTACTGGCGAGTATTCGTGGCAACATCACCACATGGGAGTACTATGAACTGCTTAGGGGGCTGTTCCATGGGCGGTTTGTTGAGAATAGCTTGTGCCTTAAGTCTGCAATCTCGGATGAAGAAAGATGGGAACTGAAGACGTGTAAAGGCTTGTGTTATGTAAGTGCATTCCTCTTCTAGAAAACAAGGGCTGGAGATGCGAAGAGCTCTCAAGAAGCCAATGAGGACTCCTCTCTTAGTGCGGGTGTCTTGGTGTGAATAAAAGTGTATAAGATCGTCCTTGTTGGTAGGTTTTCTATACACTTTGAAGAGAAGTTTGTCACTGTCGGGAGATCTGCACAGTAGAACGTCGAGGAAAGGAAGTTTGCCATCATTTTCGAGTTCAAGTGTAAACTTTATTGATGGTTCAACTGCATTGATCTTGTTGAGAAGGGCCTGGATATTGAGACGTCTCGGATAGAAAACCAATACATCATCAACGTATCTTAGCCAGGTAACGGTGTTGGGAATGAGGGTGCTGAATTTCTCTGTCTCCAGGTTTTCCATGAAGAGGTTGGCAAGCACAGCACTGAGCGGGCTTGCCCATTGCCATCCCAAAGCACTGTTTATAACAG